TGTTTCGAGAAGCAAAATCCGACATGGCCCCATCAATAAAGACCTTCAATAGTTGTTGGGCGCAGAGGATAAGCGCATGAGACACCGCTATTTGGACCCTGTGACCAACTACGCGCCCACTAAAAGCGCAGAAAGCCTAACCGAGTTACCCGCACGCCGATGACCGCTCAAAGCGCCGCCGTCTGAACACAGTCACACGAGATGACTCAGCGGAAGATAACGGGACAGTTTTGTTATCGTCATGGATAACTATGCGCCCTGCTGCTGCTCGCGACACTCTGCAAACTTGTCTCTCTTGGGGTTGATATTTTCTTGGTGGGTTTGCTACTTGCTTCGATGTATACCGATGTATTCTTTGGTCTGACAACTTGACTTAGCGCCTCTCGTTCTTCACCATGGCCGCGGTCAATTTGGAACGGCCTGCGTCACTATCGCAGAGGCCTATCTCGCGGGACGACGCATCCGAGATACTCGGCAGCATTAGCATGGCTGCCTTTCTCTGCCTCTTGGTATATCTCGCTGTTCACAGCAGTTCTGGGAAAATATACTAACAGTTTTTAGATTCCACAGCTTGCCGCAAACTACAAGTTGAAGAGCGCAGACAGCTTATCTATGGCATTTCTGTTCATCTGGCTTTTGGGGGATGTTACCAATTTACTAGGTAAGACCACACGCATAAGCCCAGCCAACCTGATCTCGGGATATGTTCTTCCGAGCAGTCTTTCAGATGCATGTGCAGACCACATGTACTCACCTGGCACGATACAGGTGGTTTGGCGAACGGCATCGCGCCCGCAAGCATAGCCGTGACAACATATCTCTGCTTTTCGGACTCTACACTCATTTGCCAGTGCCTGTACTACAACTCAAAACGTCGGATTCAAAACCTCGTACAGCCCGGGACGCCGAGATCGCAATCTCCCGAGCGACGACCTCTTCTCGAACCCGCAGACTCTTCTGAAGACGTGAACTCAATGAGCCACTACCAAATTGCCTCTCCCAGCTCGAATCAAGTTGTGGACAAGGATGAGGAGACCGACATGAGCACTGTACGCACTCTGCACGACTGGCGGTTTAACGCCGCATGCCTTATCATGGTCGCTATCCTGGGGATCTCGGGATGGTTCGTGCTTCGCCAGTTTGGTTTGCTTGGCGGCGAGAGTCCTCCTGGAGCCGTGAGCGTTACGGAGTTGCCAGGCATTTCCGAATCGGTTGGCTCAGCATTAGGAGTCATCGGCGCGATCTGCTATCTGTGGTATGTGGCGATGAACTTGCAAAATGGTTCACCGACTGACCTAAGCATGCAGTGCCCGGATCCCTCAAATCATTAAGAACTACAGGGGAAAGTCATGTGAAGGTAAGTTTAACCCCCCTACTGCTTGTGATTTCATATGACCTTAAACTTTACAGGTCTTGCGCCGCTATTCCTGCTGCTGTCCATTACGGGAAACCTGACATATGGAATGAGTGTCATTGCGTACAAGCAAGACAGAGAGTATTTGCTTACCAGCCTCCCGTGGCTGATGGGCTCGCTTGGAACGATCGTAGAAGACGGCATTATCCTATTCCAGGTCCGGCTTTACGCGCGTGTCCAAGAGCCAGTAGAGTCAAGCAGCTTATGATTCTACTCAACTTGGAATGAAACCCACATATCATGATTTTGTACGATCTTGGCGAGAACCTAAAGACATTAATTTCATGACTAGTCAAGCGACTCGGGTCCTACAGTTTGACTCATTGCCGTTGTTTCTCGGTATGAGCTTTACGAAAAGAGCAACTTTCGGCCGAGTTGTAATATTTGTAGGAATAATGCAAGTCATTCTTAACGGCCTGCAGCCAGTTGAAATAGTATTTAAGGCAACGTTATGTCCCTCTGAGTTGATGAACATCTCCTCGCCGTAGTCTCATCAACTCTTCTCACCTTGTCTCTCGCTTCGGAAACGCCCCAATCTCTCATTTTCACCTTCTCTTTCAATCAAAAGCTCAACTTGAAGTCAGTTCCGATAGCCGCCTAACATGCGTGTCATTGCCTTTGCTGCTGCTGCCTTGGCCTTCGCCATGCCCATTTCTGTACGTGATTTCCATCAAGGATTTTACAAGTGCCGAGCCGTGAGTCTGCCCTCTAACATGGCATAGGCTGGTGTCTGCGCGGCATTTGGTGTCTGCTCTCAGAATGGAATAATCAAGGACTGCACCTCCGGAAGTTGTGTTGGCAAGGTCGGAGAGTCCTGCACTCAATCTCTTGCAGGGCCCGTACTTTGCCCAGTCTAGGGCATTTAGGCGGAGAAGGAGACTATGAAACCATCGTTCGAGAAACCCAAGGGAGCTGTATGGTTCTGCTGCGGTATCATTGTTAAGAAGTAGCCAGCAAAGCACATCAATCTCAAAACTCTGAACATTGAAAAGTTTTAATTTCTAGAAGAAATATAACTCCGTCGTAGATAAGCCCCTATGTTTTCTATATCTTTTACAATTCCCCTTATCATGCAGTAATATGTTTAGCGCAGGTAGATGAGGTTAAGGCTACAGTCCAAACTTCTCAAAATGAATCAGATGCCCCCTCCTCTTCCACACGAACAGCGTGTACGCCAGACTTGCAGAAGTCACGGCCGCAACAGAAACCAGTGCGGGCCAATTGAACTGCGAAGGCCGGAAGAAAATTATGGTCGCCATATATGAAAGTAGCTCAAATGCATTTTGCCAGGCTGCCTCGACTGTAGAGAATCTGCCACGGCTCTCGGCTTCGACTTCCTGAATTCTCATGTTAGACATTTTCACACCAAAGACTTTCCATGGGCTGGGAGCTTCTTACCTCTTGGACAATGATTTGAGTACATAGGTCAAAGCCGCGCAGACCAAGACGGCTGATGATGACTCCAATCACGAGGCTGGTTGCCGATATAAGGGGGTTCGGCATGAAGACCCAGAAAGCCGCCAAGCCGCCTATCAGAGGAAGAACCTGGCAATTGCTCATCCAAAGGCCAGCGCGAACTTGTCCAATTCGACCCACAAGCCAAGGCGCAACCCAAGTCGCCAACACCTCGAAAACCACACTGATTGTTCTTGCAATGCCGATGTATGTTGTGTTGAAACCCGATGCGACCAGGTACGTGACCATCTGGCCTCCAAAGCTCAGCACTGTGAGGTATAGTAGAGAGCAGGCAAACGATGGCAAGAATGCGCGATGGCCCAAGTAGAATTTGAAGTCGGACGCGGACCTCTTGATATGACTCAGGACCTTTTTGCCAGGATTCACCGACACTGCCGTTGTTTCAGGGGTAGACGGTGGCATAGACTTAGGCTCCTGCAAATCAGGGTCCTCGTTATAGATGTTGGCAATGGCATAGTACTCGACAGCAACAGAAGCGGTGTTCATGGAGAAGTTGACGATGATCGCTGCCTTTGTGGAGAATCCGTCAATAAGAGCGATGAACAGTGGCCCAAGTAGTTTGCAGAGAAGATCGATGCGGCGCATCTGCGCATTGAGAACTGCTAGGGCTTCGATGTCGCCTTTGGCGATGACGATAACCTAGCCACCCATTAGAAACATGGAGTTGTTTGGTGAAACCAGCTCAAACTCACCCAGTCCTTCTCGACTGAAACCATATTCACGATGGAGTACAGCTTTTCGGCACAGGCAATGGATGAGAGGAGCGCAAGCAGAGCCGGACGTCCATAGTCGCCCAACGGCAGCCTAATGAAGAGGACGTAAAATAAGACACATGATGCTGACACTGCGAGTCGTTGGAAGACTGGGCAAAATTATGTCAACATTCAACAGTCTGATTAGTCGTCGATCTACATGCGCCTAGACTCACCGATGGATGCGCGGACAACTTTCAACCGGTCATTGTTATCAATGTACTGTCCAACTGTAGGCGCGAAGACGAGAGCCGATAATCCCCTGGCAAGCGCATAAAGCGACATGGGCAGCAGTGTACCCGGAAATATGGTCGCCAGGTACAGCACGGCGCCGAACTCGAACATCCGAGAATTCCAAGTCGAGAGGAAGTGCGATAGGTAGAGCCGGCGTGCGATTCGGGGATCCACCCGGTGGGTTTCGGAGACCGAGCCATCTCCTTGGCCTGCTCCATTGCCGAGAAGCGGCGTCTGCTCGTCGGGCCGGATGGCCTCTTCATCGGGGAGAGACTTAGTGTGCGTCATCGTTCATAGGAGAATTGCCCAAAGCCTCAGATTCGAGATCAGATAAGGATGGGAGAACTAAATAGTTGACTGCGTAGGAACCGGACAAAGCGTGATAGCTATAGGCCCGGGCAGGACCGCATCAGATAATGTACGGATAGACATATCAACCTTGGCGTAGCGTGACTTCAAATGAACGGTGAGCAGGAGTTATTATCTAATAGCTATGAGAAGACGGGGGCAGGTGAAAACATTCCCGAAGCTCTGCGTTGCAAACATTTGGGTACGGAAACGTTGAGGTTCCGAACAGGGAGCTTTGCCCTGGTTGATGAGTCTGTGAGTGCGTGGGTCGAGGCAACGGAGGTAAATCAGGCTCCGCGTCCGTGCCTCGAATTGCTACTTTACGTAGTATGGCACACACCTCCATGAAACCAGATTCTGCTCTAGCAAGTCATCTCTCAACTCTGGACTGTTGTTTTCAACACAGTCTCCATCTCTAAGCGATCCGTCAGTATATGCTGATGCCTCTTAAACCAATTGCTTCTGGAAGATGGATGTGTTCCCAGAGCTTGGAAGGGGAGAACATGGCCATCATCCCGTCTCTTGAATCATGTCCGTCCCATTTTGGTCTAGTGCCCGACCTCTGTCTGTCAGATGGAATCAAACCCTTTGTCATCGGAGCCAAGCTTTGTATAATCCCCGCTTAGTCATGATACGAGATCTTTCAAAACCTGGGGCATGGCCGCCGACGGAGCTGAGTTTGCTCCGTGTGTCCAATTCGATGCTGTCTTGCACCAACAAGCCCCGGCAGCTTTGCCAGAAGTACCGGCTCCCAGGGAGTGCTGATCAATGCCAAAATGCCACCAAAGCGAGCATGCGATATCTGCTATCGTAGAAAGGTGAGGCCGCTGAAGTCACTCGTATCCTAATGGTAGAACATACTCAGTCGCTGACCCATGTGCTTTGTTATCCCAGATCCAATGTCTTATCCCTGCAGAGGGGCCTCCGTGCGACTGGTGCAGCCATCATGATTCCGAATGCACCTTTCACCGTGATGCGCCACGAAGGAAGAAGAAAGCCAAGTCAGTAATTCTCAACCACTCTCCAAAGGATGCATGTTACTATAATGCGCCGTTGCTGATCAGTAACGGTTGTTTCCTTTAGGGTAACGTTGGGCGACGTCCAAGGTCTCAACGATCGCATACAGGAGCTCGAAGATGCGCTAGCCAAGGCAAATTCGCAGCAACCAACTCAACCAGACACCCCTAGTCGAGGCCAACCAACTTCAGCGATATCCGTATCCGAGGAGACTTCAAACTCAGTATCTGTCCAAAGTCCAATTCCAGCAGCTATTCAGAGCTCTATTGCTTTTTCCGAGCAATCAATCTCTCCACTGGTCTTCTCTCAAACCCCCGCCAGTGTTGATGACACTCACACAACACCACCAGCAGATGGCTCCCGGCCCGGCAGCTATGTCGGCCCCAACTGGTTCTTCAGAGGCATCCACGCATTCTCCGAAGACGGGCGCAGATGGATTTCCTCCAAGACTGGTCAAATCATCGATTGGAGTAAACTTCAGATATTCACACCAAAGCCATCACCTTTCGCGAGGAGACATGCGCAACTTTCGCGAGATCATTGCCAACTTCCAGATCAGGCTTCTTTAAGAGCGCTTTTGTCTTCGTACTTCATGTCATCTTTCCGCTTAAGATACCCACTCATTGACAAAGTTCTCTTCGAAGAGACAGTCAACGAGGCTTATGAAGATCCCGACAATATTTCACCTTCACCGATTTGTCTGGCTGCCCAGGCCTGCGTCTTCGGTGTCGTCAGCCTCATTACATTACTGCCAGACGCTCAGTCTGGTTCTCCAGGGCTAGACGGCAATGAGAGCGCAGCCAGAGCCAGCTATCTTCTCAGTCAACTTGTCGGATATGTAAGCCTCACAACGTTGCAAACAACCCTGTTACTGGTGAGTCGATCCTAGACATTGGCTTGCAGTAGTTCATGCAATGATCGGCAAACTAAATCTAGAGTCAAGCATGTGCAACGTCTCTTATGCGGTTATTGGCAAGAAGCCGATTCGCTACTACCAGGAGCTTGCCGTACTGTCGGTGCACTCGGTGGGCATCTTTATCAGCCCTCGAAGGCCCTTACAGTAGAGATCTCGCTGTGCGAAAGGAGGAAACGCCACATTAGAAACCTCTTCTGGGTTTGCTACATGTCGGATAAAGACTTGTCCCTACGGACAGGACAACTTCCACTTCTTACTGACATCTACTGTGATCTCACCGTCCCAGAAAATTACCTGAGCTCTTACACCTATCTGCGTGGTCTTAATGAGTATCTCCACCACCCAGATGCATCAAGTGATGAGGACCTCACACCACACTTCTCGGGAGACGCCCAATTGGGGTATCTTAAAGAGAAAGTATATCGGCTACTTTACTCGGTACAAGCCCTGAGGGACAAAGACAATCGACTCTTGATTTCAATCCGACAATTAGATGACGAGATTGAACGCTGGCGTCTGTCGGTCCCGGTGGACTTCCGGCCAGCTCTCTCAGTCTCGTCAAATACTCTTCTAATCACGCCTGAAACAAGACCGCCTCATGCACGACGATATTTTCACCTTCTTCTAGAGTATTGGTACCTGATGATCTACGTTCATACTACAGTCAGACGATATGATGCACATACGATAATCGGCGACGGGGGGCAAGATCTTCACCGGGTCATTCACTCGAGCTATGACTTATCAATGGAAGCCGGCAGATCGACGCTTCGATGTCTGCGAGTGTGTATGAATACCTTCTCTAATGAAGGCTTCTGGTCAGTCATCGTATTTCCTCCGGCTTCCTCAAACAGCGTTGAACCCATGCACGCAGTTAATATTCTTGTGTGGGTGGATGTCTAGCAACTAACGAAGTTCCTAGGCTTCTGATGTTTTACGCCACCAATGCAGCTATTGCTCTGTTTCTCAATATGATCATACACCCAGAAGATGCGGACGGCCAGCTCGATCTCGAGCTTCTAATTTCGGCCGCCAACGCAATCCGTATAGCAATCCCGCAGGCCTCAACACGTGAAGAAAGTATGCGCATTCAAAGAACGTCCGACTTCATCATGTGGCTCATGTGGCTCGGATCATGTGCCATCACCAAGTCGCAGGAAGAGGGATTACGACATGAGCTGTAAAATTCCAGCATACCCGTGACGGTTTTAGGAAAGACGCAGTTGGGAAGATGCCCAGCTATAAGAAGCGGCTCCCGCTGACAAAGCGGTGAACAAGTTCGTAAGGAGCGGCTTAGCAAGCCAAGAGGTTAGAGCTCCCCTGGCTCTCGTCTCAACAGGGGTGCCAATCCGAATAATTAAGCGTATTTATACTGCAGAACATACGTTCCCGAAAGCTTCGCTCTTACTGGCGGACGGGATGATGCTCAATGATACCCTAGATCAAATACGTGCAGGAGTTAATTAAGTTTAGTCGCGATGCAGTGTCATTCCACCCACTTTCCGGAACCCGAGTAATGCTGCCGGAGTCTCGCTTCTAAGCGGTATTCATGAGGTTACTGATCAATTCGGTAGCGAAGCTTCTATTAGAAACCCAGGAACCGAGCTATTCTGTATGGGTCAAAACAATCGTATTATACAAATAATTGCTTTCATTTAGGGCAGGTGGTGTTCCCATGGCCTCGGCAGCCCGGCCCCACCGGGAAGGATGAACGATCGGCTGAGGGGTTCAGCGACTTAAGTGACTTAAGCTCGACCTCAAAGCAAGTACTTGAGATGCGTAGTCGCCAGTGCTCTCCTTTCTTCTTGTATCGACATCACATCAAATCAGCCTTTAATCTCGTTCTTCGGAGTTGCTAAGATGGTTCAAATCTCATCCATCGGCCTCCTGCTTGGCCTAGTTGCGAGTCAGATCATCTCCGCTCAGGCGCAGTCTCTCCCGAAGCAACTCGCTGTAGTCCGTCGCCGCTCTGGTCTCACGCACAAAGAGTATTTGTACTACCATACACTAGTTCACGGGCAGAAGTCATGGAACGCACCTCGAGACGATTCCTTTCCCGCAGCCTACATCCAAAGCCATGTCTTTGACGGAGTCTTCGGTGCAAATAACAGCGTAGCGAACCAAGTCTACGTCGGCCGCGACGATATTGCCGAGCTATACAGTAGCTCCCCGACGTCCTTCTTGGGCCCACCCTCCACGAATTACACCGAGACGGTGATCGGTCCTGATGGAGCCAACTTCAACGACTTCCCAGTTGCCATGTCGATGATCGCGACGGAGACTTTCCTGACCAATATCACTGCGGGTGCCCCGAAAACTCCGGCGAAACCCGGCAACGAGCCTCCGGTTGCCTTCTTCTGGGCCATAGCTACGCAGAACGCTACATCGAACGAGACGTTTGCAAGGAACCTGGCGGATGCCCTGATCAAACCTTTACCCGCCGGAACGATTTACAACGCCAGTATCCACGTCCCTATTCCAGGCGCCGATGTCAGGCCTTACTTTGGTGGAGCGGACATGCCGATCATCAATACTGTCATCAAATTGTGGCTCAATGACAGTGGGTCAGCCATCACGCAGCTTCGGGCATCGCAAACAAAACTGGATAGCGCGGCACTCAACCTGGATGAGAATCTATCGTACATGCTCTTTTCCAAAGAGGTAACGATTTGGGACACCAAAGCCGGTATCGAGGTAAGTCGCTGCGGGCCATCGATACTCCGATATTTACCCCTGGGCCGTTTAGCTAACATCGAAACAGTTTGATATCCCGCGCCTCGAGGCTGTTTTGAAGGCCGAGAACTATTGATCACAGATCGTGAAGGGCAACAGACAGGGGTGGAGCCTCAACTGTTAGGCTATCAGTGAAGCCTTGCATTAATAAATACCCATTCAAATGGACTTTCGCTTTGTCCAAAATTGATCCCCGGACAGGTGGTGAGCGGCCGCCGCGATGTCGCATTCTGAAGTGTCGCATGGGGGCCCACGATGGTTGAAACCATTTTGACAGCTGGCTAAACCATCTGACCTTTTAAGGGTCTCTATTGTAACCTCTTAAAAAGCCCCGTTGCAAAACTGGAGCAGTTGACAAAAGATCAATTCCTTCTCAAAATCTTACCCATCTTTTCCCCAACCCGGCTAGTCCCTTGCAGGCTGCAGTCATCATCATCACTGCCAAGACGGTAGGCGCCCAGAGGCCAGGGCGCAGTCTCGACAAAACCCCACTAGAATTTACACCGCCCCTGTGAACAGTTCACGACTTCGGCCTCTCATACGTCATACAGTGTGGCGCAACTTGCAGTGTACCAAATTATGGGAAGTGCGCCGCTCGTATCCGTTGTCAAACAGTGAACTCGCGAAGATCATACCACGGGAACTCTGGCGTTGGTACAGCTCATAGAGCCAAGACGGGAATCCCAACCGTTCCGAACCACATATTTCAAGCTTATAATATCCCGACCACGAAGGACTCATCGCTGTTGAGGATCCCCATCTTGCATCGTCGGACATTATCTCCTAGCCTCAAGTTTTAAAACCTGTCAATTGTTCCAACAGTAAGAACAACAGCATAATCAACAACTACTCGACTTTTCAGCGACACATAAGCCTCTAGTATCGGGACGACCTTGCCTCTAAAGCAATTTTTCTGCACTGAAGTCATCTGCCTACGAGACTACATTGCGATAATATGTTAGGCGACAAAAGCGAGAAAGCGACTCCTGTATACTCAGGGCGTGATCCTGTAGCCGACGTTCCTCCTTCCTACTCTGAAGGAGTCCCGACTTCAAGTGATGGCCTCATCCCCGCCGGGACCCTCCTCCTCGCCGGAACAACCATTTTCAACACCGCCTCAGCGTCATCACCGCCATTATACGAACTCACTTACCCCATCGGACACCTGCGGGAGTCCAATACATCAGTTTCGTTCTACCGCTATGAGAACAGTGTACGGGACTCTCCTGGGGCATCCGGTCCTCAGGTAGCATCACGAAAGAAGCATATCTTCGACCTAAAGCGAGACCCTACAGTTACTGAGCCCCCCTTCCCATACCACTTGAACTCGGTCTCTCGCGGAAATGTTGGACATGTGGGCATCAGGACACACCGACGCTTAGGTGGATCGGGTTACCGCGCCTGGAGGGCGACGAGAGCGAGAGAAGGGGCGGATCTAGAAGGCAAGGAGATGCTCTTCAACATCAAGACGCGGGGCAGCGGACGGCAAGAATGGCGCGATGGGAGCGACAAGACGGTTCTGGCGCATGAGACGAGCGAGGAGGGGATCCACAAGCTACAGATCGTCGTCCCATTAACCCAAGATATTAGAGACGGGTTGGTCGCGACGTGGTGTTTACGACTTTGGTGGGAGATTGCCCTGTCCAAGGTCGAGCCTTTCAGCTGGAGCGAAGGTAAGTTGTTTAATCTGACTCCATCTGCTCAGTATGAAACATGTGCTAACTTGAATTCTTCTACGCTCAGTCAAGAATGTGTTGCAGTACAACTCGAAGAATCTCCCTTCCGGGGCGCGCTTGGGTCTTCTCCCTTAGTTCAGTCTGAATCAAGTATCTTTAAACCCATGGGAAACTCAAAAATATCCACCTTGCCTATGATAAACCAATATCAACCTCTACAATGCCCACAAACGATCGGCATGGCTCTCCTATCCGTGTAATGATGCGAACTATGCTTTCACCGACCGCCGTTTCTATCTGTCTGTGCAATTCTGTGCGATCTCTAAGTAGAAAGATTTATCAAAGAGACGCAAGGCGACTAGCCAGTGCATATAGAGAATTACAGCTTGTAGCTTATGCCCTATGATGAATTTAGAATACAGAATCCGAATCGAAAGTGGACAAACTCACGGTCTAGTGTAGCAGTACTGGGTGTCGACTGGCAAATTATATCCCCTTGGATCTCGGGCACCTTCTCTAATAAAGGTGATGATGGTTCCCACGCCAAAGTCATAGACAAATCTGGCAGCAGTGTCGCCCCATCTTCCTGCGGCATTCACCTCAAATGCGACTTGGGTGCCCGAGAGCCGAGCGACGTTATCGACAGTGACGCCCATGCCAGCCATCTCTGTGAACAAGGTAACTTGGTCATTGACCATGTTTACAAGTGCGCGAATGATGATATCTTGTGCAGTTGAGA